TATATATATATATATATAAACTCTTGCATGTTTATAGAAATAGAGTTCTTGAACAAGTAAAAATCATGCGTTTAAAATAGAGTAACACAGAAACTTTAACGAATAGAAGAAATTTCATCTGGAAGATTATATCAGAAAGTGTCGATGAAATTCCTCTTCTAGGTAGAAGAGAGCACTATTAAAAGAAATATGTTGGTATCTTTAAAAAGAATTATAAAAATGTTTAAGGAAATTAAAGCATATATATATATAGAGAGAGAGAGAGAGAGAGTGTGTGGTGAGTTTAACATACGCATCGCAGTTGGTGGAGGTGCTAATCTTGTAGGGGATTTTGACACCACATTTGCCTGGGAGTGCAGCTGCGTTGCCAGCATTCACACCTCCAATACTACCGGCAAAACCCTTCAGGCATTTGCATGCGGCCCGGCGGTCAGCAGTGGTGCTGGCAGCGGCGTTGAGAGACTTCACTCCGCTGCAGCAGTTTCCCGGCGGTGATCCGCCGGACCGAAGGAAACCGAGGCAAGGAGTCAAGCCAGAGGCAACCTGTCCGCAGGTGATAGCCTGTGCCATGGGTGCACTCATCACAACCATGCACATCAACACAACCACACATGCAACTTTAAAGCTAGCCATCACTACTCAAACTTAACAAATCACAAAAGCTTCTATTACTACAATGTGTGTTAGCTTTGCTTAGCTTCTTGCTTTGTGATTGATATGGTGCAAGTGAGGGTTTATATAGAACAAGAGATAGGCTTGTGGGAACAGAAATGGTGCTATTGGACAATGCATGTGGCAGGCTTTGCTTATTGGTGGTTGTGCTCAATTTAATGCTGTGTAGTACACGGTCTGATCTTTGAGCACTTGGCTTAATGTGAGACGTTTGATTTTGGTTATCCTGGATACGTTGAATCGGGTGATTATGGCATGGTTATTGGTCAATGTTTGCTCTTTGTATTCACTGCCATGAGACGACAAAAGTTTTGAATAGGGTTTATGGGTTACCTACCTCACTGTTTTCAAGTAAAACTAGTCGCAAAGTTCACCATAGATGATATGGGAAAGGAACCATAGTCACGGCACCGAATTCTGACAATACTTTACTTTGGCAGATTGAATGACGTTATTTGATCGGTTATGATAGTGGCACATTATATACCCCATTTTAGGGTTAATGGGTAAAATGAAGAAGGATAAGAAAAAGGGAAACACTAATAAATGATACTATAGTTGAAAAGGAAAAACGCATGAAAAGAAAATATAATAATAGAAAAAAAAATGACAGTAAATGTATATTTATATTTATTAAATGTTTCCTAAATCACGAGAATAATATTTTACATAATCAATCGGTATAGCTTACACATAAATGACATAATATAGTGTAATTCAATTATATTTAAATTTAATTTCCAAGATTAATAATTTAAAGATCATTTGTAAATAGAGATAGGAATAGTTTAGATTTAATTTGAAGATATAAGTGAAACTTATTTTATAAAATTAAAATCTAAATTTGATTTATTATTTATTATAAATTTTTTATAAATCTGACATAATTTTTTTAAAAGTCTGTTAACCTGTTTAAAAATTTATTTTTATTGACAAGTTAATAAAGTTAATTTTAAATATACCAACAAATTTATTTTTAAATGAGTGTCAGCCTTTTTTAAATTTACATGATAAAAAATAATTTATTCAATTTTTATTAAAATTTTTATTGTAAAAAATAAAATAAAAATTAACATAAAATGAACAACTCATATATATCTATGTATATTTACACATAACAAGTTGTGATGAAAGTGCATACTTTTATTAAAAAAAATTAAAATATTTCTTATATTTTATTTAAAATGTTCGAAATAACTAAATATAAAAATGAAAGAAAATAGTAGGTGAAGATGTAATTGTTAAAGTTTCTATTTTCTATTTCTTGATTTTGTATGAATAGAAAATATAAAATAATTTAGTGAAAATGTAAAAAAAAAATATAGATAATTTAATTTTTTAATTAAAAAGTTTATTTATTTAATTATATTATTAATAATTTAATTTGTATATTAATTTTTACTATATTTATAGTTGAATAGGCTATCTTATTTGACCTAATACATATTTTTATAAATTTAAATCTAGACTTTTTAAATAAATAATTTTAAAAAAAATTAAATCTGACATTTTTAGTAAACAAGTCATTTGATTTATATTCTTTCCTATTTGTGAAGTTGTTTTTTTTTTAAGTGTTGAATTCGTTATTTTTAAGCTTATTTTTATGAAGGAAGTATGTCTCAACTAGAGATGGCAATGGGGCCTCATGGGAGCGAGTAATAGTAAACCCGCCCCCGTCCCACTGGATAAAAATTGGCTCCATACCCACTGCATATTCACGTGGGTATCCATGAATTTCTTGAATACTCACAGATATCCATGGATATTTATAATTTTTTTAAGAAATTAAAAAAATTATATTACAAATAATTTTAAGTTTATATTTAATATTATTGAAATATTAAAAATAAAAATTCAATGTTAATTTTGAAGTTGTATTTGACGTTAATTTTGTTGAAATAATAATAAAAATGCAAGATAATCAATAATTTAAAATACACCAATCTCACAAATAAGTTAATGTCTGATCACAAAGTTACAATAATTCAATCTCATAATTTCAAACCAAAGTAAACAACTTAAAATACATAAATTTTATTGGTCCAATCAAAACTAGAAAAATAATCAAATTACATCTAACATAATTCTATAACATGCATAACACATGTTGGTAACTTCATCAACCTCACTTTTGTAAGAAAATAAAATGAGAGTGTAGTTTTAGGGCTATGTGATACAAGGATAATTAAGATATTTAAGAAATATTATTAAACGGGTACCCGCAGGTATGGATATCATCATA